GCATAAGTACCCGAAGAGCTGGAGCCCCGCTTGGGTGTGAAGCTCGACCGAGCACTCGCTGTCCCCGTCTTCTTCGTCGAGTTCTCCGGCGGCGGAGAACCATGCTGCATGTCGTCGCCGCTAGTGACGACGTAATCGGAATCTACGACGCCGTCTGTCGATAGTCCAAGGCCGATGGTCTGACGGTGAGCACTGTCCCTAGACTTCTCCTTCCCACTGAGCGACGCATGCATGCTGGAACGCTTGCTGCTGCGCCCGCCCTCGATACCTTCCCACTGAGTCGTGGTGGAGGCTTTGGCAGGAGTACTTGGTCGGCTGGAGCTACCGACCCTGCTGTGACCCCCGATGCTGGAGCGGGCACGTGCAGTCTTGCTGGACAGCCCATCCAGCTTCCTGAGCGCCTCCATGGTCGTTTGATCGTCCAAATCGGACCAGCCTTCCTGCGTGCCGCGCAGCAACGAATGAGCGACGTTGTGCGGCAGATGTGGCTGCGCGTGAAGGGGGGACGAAGCGGAGCTGCTGGTGTTGCCACCCTGCTTGAGAAACTGCTGGATCGATGACGATGACGGGGACGGAGGGAGGTGTGAAAAGTCGGAGTTGTGCATGCGCCGCGAGAGGAGGGGCTCGCCATGGCTTGATGACGACGAACCACCACCAGAAGTCTGACGCGAATGCCGTACGCTGAGAGACAGCGTGTCCCTCCTGCGCTCCTTGACCTTATCCTTTGGAGTGACCGGCGCAGGCATCCTGACACCTAGGCTTCTATGCCTCCGGACCTTATCCTTGTCCTTCCCTGCCCCCGGCGTAGTATTCGACGAATGCTTTGACACCAGCGCGCCGTTGTCGTCCAGCTCGAACTCCTCCGAGGTACGCTTCCTCGCGCGATTCGCAGGAGCCGCGAACGCACTTGGTGGGGACGTGTTGTCGGAGGGAGAGTCTAGCGCAGCAGCCGCTAGAGCCTCGGTGGGGCGAGTGGGCAGCTTGGGAGGCGGCGGGGCATCATCAGCATGTAGGTGGGGATGACGGGGATACAAGATTTCTTCGCCACCGCTCTCGTCCGCTACTGATCGTCGACTGCGCAGGGGGCGAGTGAGAGGCTTGACATCCATGAGCTGTGGACCCATGGTTCAGTGGTCAGTGGAAAAGGAGCGACGAAGATTTACTGACCTCGTCCTGCTCATCCTGCTCCCCGTCCACAGCCTCAATCGTCCACGGGCTGTCGGGGTGATCCGGTTCCTGAGTATCGTCGAACCCTTCCCCATCTACTCCCTCCTCCTCTTGGACCTCCTCCACACGCTCCTGGGGCACGAATTCGGAGTCGTCGTTACGCGCTCCCCGCGCCCAGCGAGGGGTAGCAAGTTCACCCACCCCGACCAGAGTGCGCCTGTCGATCGCTGCAGGGTCCCTTCCGGGCGTCACAGGATCACGGTGCAGGTAGGAGTGCATTTCGGGAGTCTTGGGCAGGCTGGGGACGGGAGGGATTGGCGACTCGGATGGGCTGTGCACGCCGAAGTAGTAGGGATCGAGAGAGGACGTGGCCGAGGCGGGGCGGTGGCCGTCCGTCTCAGCATCGGTGTGCTGGTCTTCTGCGCCGACGACTTGCAGGAAGGGCTGCTGGACCGTCGTCAGTTGAGATCAGCCAACGAGACAAGCGCATGCAAAGCGTGGCTACCTTTCGCGCATCTTTAGCGGCATCGCGCTCGTATCGTACATCCCCGTCCGACCCCGCCTTGGAGTCTGCGATGTCGAGCGCAGGAGGCCTTTCTCTCCTCTTCGTGCGTCCTTTTTCGTGTGCCACTGGACCGAGGGTGGGGGAAGACGGGGCAGACATGGAAGAGAGGATAACGAGCGAAGGAAAGAAAGGAAAGACAAGAGAAGAATCAGAGAATCGAGAGGGGAGAGCGTATCGTGTACAGGATGGGTGGAACGACGCTCAGGACCAGTAAACCGACTGGCCGTGGAGCTCGACGATGCCGGTGTGCGGAGTATGTCGTTCTGAATGTCGTCCTCGTCGAGCTCTACAACCGCCTCGTGTTATGTACCGCTGTTTGGCTTGTGCGATCTCGCCCATTGTCC